CAGACCCACCCCATGCCTGCTGCAGACTCGGCTGCTCACATTGAACAGATGCAGCAACAGCAGTGCCGGCGGGGCAGAAGGGTCCTCAGCATGAAGGTAAAAGCGGCCCCTCCCCCTCAGCGCTGCCCAGTGGTTCCTGCAGCAGCCCCACACTGCTGGTGGAGGTGGGAAGGCATCACAGGGCGCATGGGCTCCAGGCTGTTGCAGGGCAAAGGCAGGTGCTGACTGGATTAGGGGGGTGTGCATGGGAGGGCTCCCATGCACACCTCACCATACCCACAAACCCTCTTGTCCCCTGCACACGTTTACACACCCCACAAACACCACACCAATCCACACCCCTCCCCACACCCCACCCCCAGACACCCTCCCACAGGCCTCTGGGGGGAGCCCTGCTCACTGCTACCCACCCACACCCCTCCCACACACACTCACAGCCATCCTCTCCCTCCACACACACCCCAGAAACACCCCACACACAAGGCCTCCATACCACCCACATCCACACATACCCCCACGCCCAACATATACCCACAGCTTCCCACAAGCCCCATACCCACCCACTCATACACCCCCCCTGCACCCCTCTACACTATTCAAGAGTAAGATTTCATTTGAGCTATTATGTAATCACCTCTATATACACAATGCAAACGCACACAAATCAGGACAAAAATATCTTTTTAAAAATAAAATTAAAATATGTTATTGTAGATGTTAGATTTTTAGTATATAATTTGGGGTTTTTTTCCCAGTTCCAAGATGGCAAACTCCCTTCCCAAAAGGAGTACTTTCAGAGCAAGGGCAGGGACTTCCTGTGACAAAGATCACGGGTTAGGGAGCGAGAATTCTGGTACCAAGATGGCAACCAGAGAGCAGGGCACTTGTCAAGGGATGGGGGTATCCTTGTGGCCTTTGACAGTTCACCAGAACTCACTAAGTTGGCCTCCAGCCAAAATAATTACTCACCCCTGTTCTACAGTAAAGACAGAATTTTGTTTTACTGCTGAGCTGTAAAGTGAGACAAGTCACTACATTACTTTGTATAAAACAGCCTGAATAGCAGGTACATAGCTAAATACATTATGGAGATGTAGCTCTGGCCTATGCAACTAACTAATTTTGTCTCTACTGAATGTGCTCAGAAGCAATACAGCAATGCACCAGAGATAGCAAACTCCATTTACATTCCACTGCAACTCAGGTTTCAACATGGACACACTGAAGTGCAGTGTAACCCCAGAAATTGTTGTTAATCAAAAATCACAATTAGAAACTGTTTGACACTGCGCACACTTTTGTCTAGGACTGACAGCACTATCCAGGACAGTAGAAACCTAAGTTTTAGGTTTGCCTTCCTCTGTGGATATTTGACCTCTAACCTCCTACATTACAAGACAACAATCTAACCATTAAAGGTTAGACAGGCAGGTTGGGCCAGCCTGGGCTCTCAGGGTTCCCCCCCCACCCTGCCTTGTTGAGGCTAGGCTACTGAATAGCCAAGAGGAACAGCATCCTGGGCAGTGGTGATACGTAGGGAATGCACGGAGGTGTACGTGCACCCCTTGAGAACACCAGTGCACCCCCTGACCGGCCATGCTCGCCGCTTAGGTGATGGACAGGGGGGGGCAGGCGGGAGTGCCGGTGCCCCCCCCCCTCCCCCACAAGCGCCGACTGACCGCTGCAGCCGCGCCCCGAAGCGCCCAGAATGGGCTGCAGCAATTGGCTGCAGGGTTCCCCCTGGGCAGCAAGATCAGCCGTGGGGGGATTCCCGCCCCCCAGTCAGCAGGATTAGCCGTAGGAGCACCCACCCAGTCGCCAAGACTGGTCGCAGGGGGGGCACGTGTCCCCCCCCCCGACTAAGGCAGCACCAGTTGCCTATGATCCTGGGGACAGGCAGGAGGGAGACTGACTGTGGCTTAAGGAAGCAGATGCTGCCCTAGTGCAGGTAGGGAGGAAGTAAGCCCTCATTTTCACTGTTTCTGTGCGTGTACTGAAGATTCACTAGGAAAACTGCATAAACAACATTGAGGGCAGAGAGCAGGCTTCTTCAAATGGTGCTGTGTCTACTTGAACCCCTTCCCCATGCTATTGGGATAGATGCCCAGACTGACCTATTTGGAAAGCCTCCTAGTGGCCATCCTCAGTACTTCTTGATGAAGAAGAGGCCTGCTGGAAAACATTACCTGGAATTTCTACCAGGAACCAGTGCATGTCTGGTTTGGAGAAGGGAAAAGAAAGCCTGGTGGGACTAGCAGTAACAGGCATCAAGGTCTTTGACTTTCCCAGGCATGTAAAATATTCAACATTCTGCTGCCCTGTTTTACTGGTGCATCTCACTCCACTGCCAAATCTCTCCTGAAATTATACTTCTACACTGACACATCCCACTTGCACAGCAGGCTAGAGTGGGCATATTATGGATCAGTGAGCCATTGGTTTCCAGGTCACCCTGTTCACCCAGCATCCCCTCCCCCTGACATCAATGCAACCCCACTGCCCCCCTTCTACAAAAAAAATAAAAATAAATAATAATAATTTTAAAAAAAAATCAATCTAGAACAGTGCCACAGCTAACAACAGCATGACTCCAGCCCTGCATCCAGCATTCCCTCTAAGCTGTGTGGCGTGCACAGCACGCAGACGTGCTCATGAAGCACTGCCAGGCACGCCTGTGCAGCTGCGCACACCACACAGCTTAGAGGGAACACTGCCTGCATCTGTATCTGACTTATTTAACGTAACTGTCATGGGGTAAAATGCATGAACAGCTTTGGGAACTAGGAGAACCCAGGGTCCCCCAACCTGCTACAGCAGGACCTCCTTGGGTAACAATCCTTTCACATTCCAAAATTTGACATCCCAGACCTGGGTTTTTCACACAAAGGTTTATTAAGACCCAATAATGAAGGTTTACTTATGCTTGTTAAATTCTCTTGGTGTTTGCAGAGTGTTTGGCTAGAAACAGACATTGCCAAAAGGAGCAATTCAGCTGTGCTGCAATGCGTCATGGCACAGCTGGTTCACTTCACTGGGCAAAACATAAGTCGCCCTTGTTCCACCCTTGAGGATATGGGATAAGGGGGGGGACCTTAGGGAGTTGGCTGGGTGAGAAAACACCCAAGCATTTTCTAGTTCCCCAAACCCATAGGTTTGGAGCAGCAGGAAATGCTGAGGTGCTCCCCAACCCAGCGTGGGTCTGAAGCAGCTGAGAAAGCTAGGATATCCCCCTCCCAGCGCTGCAAGGTAATAGACACCTGCCGCAATAAGGTGACAGAGTCTACTACTACCTTTTGTTGCACTGCTGATTTTCAGGTCATGTAGCACAACAAAGAGTAAGGACATCAGTTTGCTCCACATTTGTGCTTTTTAAGGCAGCACAAATGAAAAATCAGATATCCGTTTCCACCCTTTGCAGTCTTGGATAAGTCACTTTAACCAGTTTGTGGAAGTTACGCTTAACTCCTTTGAAAAATCAGACCACTCCTATTTAGGTGTCTAGCTTTAATCACACAGATTTTTAAAGTTTGGTATTTATCTTCATCTGCCTATCTATTATAAGGATTAATGGGCTTAATTTTTCCACATTACTTTGGACATGAAACTGCTGAGCGCTATCATCATTCCTGTAGAAACAGTATATTCTACAAACTGAAAAGTAGGAAGTGCTTTCAAATGCTGATTAGAGTTTACTTTTCCTTCCCTTCCCTTCTTACAAAAATTGAATATTCCCTTATCTTCAGGAGCGAGAATGAGTCTCTTTTACAGAGTAATAGTTCACTACCATGTTAAAAGAATCTGCAGGAGAAAGTTCATCTCAGCAGCAGCACAGACAGAAACTATGGGTTATCGCTCCTAAAAGAAAGCCCCACTTCAGTGACTGATTAAATGAATCAAGAACCATCATTCCCAGCAAATAAATGAGGGCAAACTTTAGTACATAATACAGATTTATTTCCGCTGTCAGTCGTTGTCGGAATAAGGAATACCACTACACACAGGGTAGAAAACCATTTTCTATTGACCAGACCTTTCCGATTACAAGATACATTTTCTAGTTTTATTAAAGTAATGGAAAAATCAATCATCAAAAATATTTATTACAGGTAGCTTGGCAGAGAGTATATTTTTGTACTTGTGTACCTTTCAACCCAGAGGATCCAAGGCTTTTCACAAACTATTCTCCACCTTGGCACAGAGCTCCACTCATATGCATGAGTTTGCAAGATCAGGGCCTGAATATATTTTACAATGAAGTGCTATCACTTCCTGAGTGGATTCACCAATGGACTGAAGCAGCATGCAGTGGCCATACATAGCAATTTTGGACAGATATGGCCCAATCTGATTCTTACTGAAGTCATTAGAAGCCTTTTCATGGATGTCAGTAAAGATAATGCCTCAAGAATATCAGACCTATTGTAATTAGAGCTATATTTAGGCAGGCAGAATTAAATAACCCAAACCTGGGCAAGATTCTAACAGGAGGGGTAGCACCAGCTGTTGCAAAAAGCATTGTGGGTTCTTGGTCCAACTCAGAGAAGCTAAGCAGCTTGAGCCTCCAAAGGAGCCACAATGGCTGAAGGCTTCATAGGAGGAACTCAGCACTCTTTGCTACTTACAAGTGGTCAGCACCTCAGGTTTAGGTCTCATCCACAGGCTGACACTTGTAACGGCCCCATGCCCAGTTTGATACTGGGCCACTGGACAATACTGACTTAAAAAGAAAGAGTGCTGCCTACGGTTGATAAAAGCCTACTTTCTGCCATGCTTGGATTTTTCCGTGGAGGCCGTCCTTCCAGGCACTGGCCAATACCATTCCAGCTTAGGTAAAATTTATAGCCATACAACATGGGCTGTACTAGTAAAGGCAAAGCCTTCTATGGCATGCTATTTTAATGGCTAATTCTTAGGCCTTTGGAGTTACAGGACATCAGCTGCCTCAGAGGAAACGAGCAAAAATAGCATAAATATGCAACTGTACAGTGAGAAAAACCAACCTTTGCATGAATCATCCTCAATGGGCTGTTTGAAAGCTGTTATGTCATTGAAAGTGCAAAGAAATAAAACCACTTTATCCTGCTCATTTCGAATAGGAGCAATTTTCACAAAGAACCAGACAGGTGTCCCTGGGGGAAAAAATATCAAAAAGTTGGTCAATGGCAGACAGAACATTAAATGCACTCTTTTAGATATTCAGATTTCAGGAAAAGCCATCATAACTACAAACATCCTATAGGAAAAATGAAGCATCTCTCAAAAGAATTAAAGTCTCAGCTCCTTTACTGATTAGCTGTATAATCTTGTGCGCGTCTCTCACTCCATCAGTGACTCATCTGCAAAATGGTTAAAGATTATTTTACCTACCTTTATAAAAATGCTTTGAGACCTACATATCCAAATTGAGTACAAAAGGTCAGTGCCTCAAAAACAGTCACACCTTCCTCCTGGCAGAGCCCAGGAAATGGACAACGGTGGTTATATTGCACTACCACACTTCCCAATATTGGGGGTGGGGAGGGAAGGGAAGGGAAGGTTCAGTTAGGTCCCTTGACAGCTGTTATGAAGCAGCAAAGCTTTAAAACCAGGTTGGCAGACAGACAGCACCTGAGCACAGAACTGCTCTCCCCAGGGGCCATGGAGAACAGTGAAGTTACGCCTATGAAAGAGTGATCAAATCGGGTCTGGGGACTGAGTGTGACAGTAGGTTACACTTTCATACCGCTTTACCTGTATAATTACATAAAGGGCTGAGGCGATAATGAACTTGCAAAATTAAAAGATCTGAAAATCAAAGATCTCTTTCCCATAAGAGATACCACATAGACAGCAACCAAACAAATTTCTAACTAAGCTCTGATTAAACAGATCACTTCAAGGAAAGAGAAAGTAATTCAGTCTCCACGTCCATTTAATCATTACTGTTTCTGCTGAGGCTGTCAAGAAGCTGTCAGTCACAATGATCGTACCCTTCTCCACTTGAAACAGAACTGTGATCATCAGGGATCCTGGTTTTCTCCAATTTAAAAAATCCCCAATTTTCAGTTTTAAAAAAAAGTAAACCCAAATCCATATTTTTCCATGATTTAAATGAAACACCACTAATATATAGATACATCTATATAATGGTGTTTCATTTTAATCATGGAAACATGTCGATTGGCGTTTAATTTTTTTAAATCAGAGAAAACTAGGATCCCTGGTGATTCATTTCACAGAAGCCACAACTGCCAAAACTTGGTGAATGGGGGACTTCAGTAGTCTGGAGGGCTCAGAAACAGGTAGTATGTTTCTGTATGTCATGCCTGTAGCTGTCTAAACCTACCATCTCATTTTTCAAAGTTCCAGCTTTCATTCAAAAAAAATCAGTCTCTGCTTGCTTTGGGTACATACTAAGATACAGAGAGGCAAGCCAAATGTAACCAGTGCACGTTTCTGCAGAAAGCTTGAAATTCTCTCAGAGGTCTGAAATGCCCTGTTCATCTCAGGCAGGTATTAAAAGCCCCTGTTGAAGATATTTTTTTTTTAAATAACACTGATTATTGTATAAAAGGGGGATAGGGAGAATCACAGCCCTGCACAGGTCACTGTAAACAAGCTGCATCTCTTGCTAGTGACACAGGCAAGTGTTATCTGGATTACAGGTAAACTTGCAGGGTTCACTACTGATAACAGAGTGAGACATGTCTACAGCCCAACCTTTTATTGCTTACGCTCCAAAGCACAAAAACAAACATTTTTCCCAAAGCCTGTTCAATGACAATACAACAGAGATTCTTACCCAGACTGCCTAGAGAGTTTTGAGGTGGTGGGAAGGGTGCAATGGCACTCAGACTACAGCAGATCTTGAATTTTCTGAGCTCTCCCAATTTCCTTCCATCCTATACCCTATATATTTATAGATGGCTTATTCTAATATTCTAATATTTTTCCCTGATAGGTTGCATTAACATTTCTTTTGTTTCACTGAAACTTTTCGGACTGGGCTGAACCAGATCTCTTGTGGACTTGTAAGGTGTCAATTAGTTGGGATTTATGTCCTCCGTAAGGTTGCCAACTGTCTACAAATTTATGGACAGCAAGTTTAAAAAAAAGGATAAAAATGTCTGTTAGTAAAGTCTGTAAATAAATATCAGCCCTCTGTAAAAACAATCAGACTTCATCTGCTTTGGAAAGCGCTCTCTCAGAAAGAAGCTGGACAGCTGGAACTTGAATGAAGCACAGACAAAACAGAGCAGAGCCACCTCCTGTGTGAGCAGGAGTGCAGCACCCTGTGAGAAGCCATTTCTCAGTGCTTTGTAGACCCCACCCCATATAGCCATGTGCTGCTTCTTCCCATCCTGTAACACTACTGAGTTATAGGTAGACTTCTTCTGAGGTCCGTGTTGGGATGGAAGGGAGCAGGGCCAGCAGAGGTAAGATTGAGGGGGCAGCATGGTACAAGGTGCAGTCAGAGGTGTTAGGGTAGGAGGTGTGTAGAGGACCCCTGTGGTGGGGGCAGCAGGGTGTAAAACCACTGATGCAGCCCCACAGGTTTGCCAACCCAAGAACATTTATTTTACTGCCAGTAAAAAGTTCATGGTCAATAAAAATGTTTGTCAGTGAAAAGTTCTCAGGTTGTCAGTACAAAAATTTCTTTGGTTGACAACCCTGATCCTTGGGAAAGAAGAAGGGAGGGTCTTCTATCACCTTCCTTCACCACTATGGAATTCTGCTTGCCACTGTCCTGTTTTTTCTTCATCTTACTTTATGGTCTTCACTGACAAGGCTGCTTTCTAAGAATCTTAAAAAAAACTATAACACTGTATCTATTACAGCAAAACAACATCTAATATATTTGGCTACATCAATCACTACTACCAACATTTTAAGATACAGTTATGATCCATTATATTGGGAATATTTAATTTAAGGTCTTCCTTAATAATGTCTCCTTTCAGGACTTGTGCTTTGTTTGTTTGGATCCCATTACTGGTTTACCTGGACATGGCCCTTTACTTTTCTGACCAAGCTGGTTGTCACATCTGCAGAGATTCATTCTATGGTCACTCTGAAATGGGCTTTGGGGCCTTCTCCATTAGCCACACTTCTGCAGCTTGGCCTAGGCCCCTTGAAAATGGCCAAAGCTGGCAACACTACTACCATTTTGGAAATGCCACAACAAACTACTCTTGATACTCAGTGCTACCAAAGGAACAAGCAAGAAACCTCAGGCAGATCACAAATGGTTTGCTGAAATAAGCAAAGGGGGATTTTTCCCTTCTGTCCTAATGTATGAAGGGTCTCAGCACACCATCCACCTTGCCCCCAATCTCGGCAAGGAGTAGTCTTCTGAGGCCACAGGAGATGAGAGCAGCTCAGAAGACCTTGGTCAGATTCCATAAAGGAAACTTAATTTTTAATATCTCTCATTGGAAGTGCCTGTAATATCCTGTCACAAACCCCAGATGAGCTTCCCTACCATATGTGCAGCAATCTCTATGAACGGCAGAGTAAACAGAAAGATGAAGATTCAGAGCACAAAGCAGGGTAATGCAATAGATGAGTACAGAATCCCTGATAGCCCATTGTGGAAGAGGCTGGAGCATGGAAATGTTGAGTTCCATTTTGAGACAGGAGCGAAATATTCTTCAGAAAGCCATCAACACCAACAACAAAAGAAAAAGAACCCAAACAATAACAAGAAATAAAAGCAGAATAACTGGCCCAGCAAAAATATTAAGTTAGTAACTAGCTTAGAAGCCTTAACTGCAGAGAAACCAAATTCCTTGGGTGAAATTATTATTCTCTGTACACTCTTCTTTCTTTCCTTTGATCATCTTTTAGCCACTTTAAGGATTAGCAAGGCCCTATCCTGGTCAGATACTCAGCTGAGCATGCAGCTCTCTTCCTTCTGCTCTGAGGTATGAGATGTCTGCATGCTGACCGAAAACACACATGTCCAGCCTTGGTCACATCCCACCCCACATCAACACCCTTAAATCCTGGTCCAGCTTTTCCTCCTACTTCTCCATGCAATTAGAGTAGCTACCCATAGCTAGCATCCCCTGGCTTTTTGACTAGTGTGTTCTTTCACACAGAAGCACCCCAAATATAACCCTGCAGCACAGCAGGGAATTCCCTTGGTGCTAGACTTTTATTAAAATTTAAGCTTTACAGGTTTTATGCTGAATTGCACAATTCTACCCCTCATTCCTAAAGCATCTATCCCTAACTATCTTGATGATGCATAAAGACAACTGAAAACAAGTGGCTAGAGAGACCCCTCCTGGTTTTAATTCCT